ACAAGGAAACAAGAGCTTTGAATGATACATTGGACCAGATGGACCTCATAGATATAAATACAGAACATTCCACCCTAAAACAACAGAATACTCATTCTTCTCGAGCGCACATGGAACTTTTTCCAGAATAGACCATATACTGGGTCACAAATCAGGTCTCAACCGATACCAAAAGATTGAGATTATTCCCTGCATATTCTCAGACCACAACGCTCTAAAACTGGAACTCAATCAAAAGAAAAAATTTGGCAGAAATTCAAACACTTGGAAGCTAAAGACCACTCTGCTCAAGAATGTTTGGGTCAACCAAGAAATCAAAGAAGAACTTAAACAATTCATGGAAATCAATGAGAACGAAAACACATCGGTCCAAAACCTATGGGATACTGCAAAGGCGGTCCTAAGGGGGAAATACATAGCCATCCAAGCCTCACTCAAAAAAATAGAAAAATCCCGAATTCACCAACTAACTCTACACCTTGAAGAACTAGAGAAAAAGCAACAAACGACGCCTAAGCCACGCATTAGAAGAGAAATAATTAAAATTAGAGCAGAAATCAGTGAATTAGAAACCAGAAACACAGTAGATCAGATCAACAAAACTAGAAGTTGGTTCTTTGAAAGAATTAATAAGATTGATAAACCACTGGCCAGACTTATCCAAAAGAAGAGAGAAAGGACCCAAATTAATAAAATTATGAATGAAAGGGGAGAGATCACGACTAACACCAAGGAAATAGAAACAATTATTAGAAATTATTATCAACAACTATATGCCAATAAACTGAGCAATCTGGATGAAATGGAGGCCTTCCTGGAAACCTGTAAGCTGCCAAGACTGAAACAGGAAGAAACTGACAACCTGAATAGGCCAATAACCAGTAACGAGATTGAAGCAGTGATCAAAAACCTCCCAAGAGTCCAGGGCCTGATGGATTCCCTGGGGAATTCTACCAAACATTCAAAGAAGAAATAATACCTATTCTACTGAAGCTGTTTCAAAAAATAGAAACAGAAGGAAAACTTCCAAACTCATTCTATGAGGCCAGCATTACCTTAATCCCCAAACCAGGCAAAGACCCCATCAAAAAGGAGAATTTCAGACCGATATCCCTGATGAATATGGATTCCAAAATCCTCAACAAAATCCTAGCTAATAGGATCCAACAATACATTAAAAGGATCATCCACCATGACCAAGTGGGATTTATCCCCGGGATGCAAGGGTGGTTCAACATTCGCAAATCAATCAATGTGATAGAACACATTAATAAGAGGAGGGAGAAGAACCATATGGTCCTCTCAATTGATGCAGAAAAAGCATTTGACAAAATACAACATCCTTTCCTGATTAAAACTCTCCAGAGTATAGGGATAGAGGGAACATTCCTCAAGCTCATAAAATCCATCTATGAAAAACCCACAGTGAATATCATCCTCAATGGGGAAAAGCTGAGAGCCTTTCCCTTAAGATCAGGAACACGTCAAGGGTGCCCACTCTCACCACTGTTGTTCAACATAGTACCAGAAGTCCTAGCAACAGCAATCAGACAACAAAAAGAAATAAAAGGTATTCAAATTGGCAAAGAAGAAGTCAAACTCTCTCTTTTCGCAGACGACATGATACTTTATGTGGAAAACCCAAAAGGCTCCACCCCCAAATTACTAGAACTCATCCAGCAATTCAGTAATGTGGCAGGATACAAAATCAATGCACAGAAATCAGTTGCTTTCTTATACACTAACAACGCAACTGTAGAAAGAGAAATTAAAGAAACGATTCCATTTACAATAGAACCAAAAACCATAAGATACCTCAGAATAAACCTAACCAAAGAGGTAAAGGATCTATACTCGAGGAATTACAAAACACTCATGAAAGAAATTGAAGAAGACGCAAAAGGATGGAAAAATATTCCATGCTCATGGATCAGAAGAATAAACATTGTTAAAATGTCTATGCTACCCAGAGCAATCTATACCTTCAATGCCATCCCGATCAAAATTCCAATGACATTTTTCAAAGTGCTGGAACAAACAATCCTAAAATTTGTATGGAATCAGAAAAGACCCCGAATCGCCAAGGAGATGTTGAAAAAGAAAAACAAAGCTGGGGGCATCACCTTGCCCGATTTCAAGCTATATTACAAATCAGTGATCACCAAGACAGCATGGTACTGGCACAGAAACAGACATACAGACCAATGGAACAGAATAGAGAACCCAGATATGGACCCTCAACTCTATGGTCAAATAATCTTTGACAAAGCAGGAAAAAACATGCAATGGAAAAAAGACAGTCTCTTCAATAAATGGTGCTGGGAAAATTGGACAGCCACATGCAGAAGAATGAAACTCGACCATTCTCTAACACCACTCACAAAGATAAACTCAAAGTGGATGAAAGACCTCAGTGTGAGACAGGAATCCATCAAAATCCTAGAGGAGAACATAGGCAGTAACCTCTTTGACATCGGCCACAGCAACTTCTTTCAAGATACATCTCCAAAAGCTAGTGAAACAAAAGCAAAAATGAACTTTTGGTACTTCATCAAGATAAAAAGCTTCTGCACAGCAAAGGAAACAGTCAACAAAACAAAGAGGCAACCCACAGAATGGGAAACGATATTTGCAAATGACACTACAGATAAAGGGCTGGTATCCAAAATCTATAAAGAACTTCTCAAACTCAACACCCAAAAAACAAATAATCAAGTCAAAAAGTGGGCAGAAGAGAGGAACAGACACTTCTCTGAAGAAGACATACAAATGGCTAACAGACACATGAAAAAATGTTCATCATCATTAGCCATCAGGGAAATCCAAATCAAAACCACACTGAGATACCACCTTACACCAGTTAGAATGGCAAAAATGGACAGGGAAAGAAACAACAAATGTTGGAGAGGTTGTGCAGAAAGGGGAACCCTCTTACATTGTTGGTGGGAATGCAAGTTGGTACAGCCACTTTGGAAAACAGTGTGGAGGTTCCTCAAAAATTTAAAAATAGAGCTACCCTATGACCCAGCAATTGCACTACTGGGTATTTACCCCAAAGACACAGATGTAGTGAAAAGAAGGGCCATATGCACCCCAATGTTCATAGCAGCAATGTCCGCAATAGCCAAACTGTGGAAAGAGCCGAGATGCCCTTCGACAGATGAATGGATAAAGAAGATGTGGTCCATATATACAATGGAATATTACTTAGCCATCAGAAAGGGTGAATACCCAACTTTTACATCCACATGGATGGGACTGGAGGAGATTATGCTAAGTGAAATAAGTCAAGCAGAGAAAGTCAATTATCATATGGTTTCACTTATTTGTGGAACATAAGGAATAGCATGGAGGACATTAGGAGAAGGAAGGGAAAAATGGTGGTGGGGGGGGGGAATTGGAGGGAGAGATGAACCATGAGAGACTATGGACCTGAGAAACAAACAGGGTTTTAGAGGGGAGGGGGGAGGGGGGATTGGTTAGCCCGGTGACGGGTATTAAGGAGGGCATGTACTGCATGGAGCACTGGGTGTTATACGAAAACAATGGATCGTGGATCACTACATCAAAAACTAATGATGTATTGTATGGTGACTAATATAATATAATAAAATTAAAAACAACAAAAAAATATATATATATGCCTGGTTTAAAGCAAAATAATCACACTATCTGGGGGATACATAACACATGTAGTTGTAATACATATAACACCTAGAGCATAAAGGTTGATGGAGTGCTGACAAATAAATATATAGAGTAGCAAAGTTTTCCATTTTATGGGAAGTGATAGGATATTAACTCTAATTAGACCACAATAAGCTAAACATATATATTAAATTTCTAGATCCAGCACTAAAAAGTGCAGAGGAATAGCAAAAAGACAAAAAATAAAAAGAATATTCTAAAAGAAAAAAAAATCAGGTAACACAAAAAAGTCAGAAATGTAGCAACAGCTGGACAAACAGAATTGGAAGACCCAAATCCAATCATATCAATAATTGTACTAAATGTTAATGGACAGAATATTCCAATTAATACCAGAGATTATCAGAATGGATAAAAAAGCAAGACTCAATTATATGATGTCTACAAAAGGAGCACTCTATTTTTTTTAATCAGTCTATTTTTTTATTTAAGAATAGTTGACAGACAATGAGAAGCTGTTTAAATATAAGGCCACACCTTGGTTAAAGTGATGAGAAAACATACACCATTTAAATACTAAGTAAATTTTAATTTTTTAAAGCAAATTTTAATTTAATTAATTTTTAACACTAAAGCTATGTTCATTTCAGCTTAACTGCACTTGAAGATAAAGAACACTATCAGATATAAAGAGATAAATTACATAATGATCAAAGGTTAGATTCACCAGGAAAACAATTGTTCAAAAAACTTCTAATACCAGAGAGCTTCAAAATACACAAAAGCACAGTTAAAAGGATAAAACTCCAAAATAATAGCTGTATATGTTTTTAAAATTTTTACCATCATTATCAAATAAGTAGGTAACTCTGGGTTGACAGTTTTCTCTCAACAGTTTGAGATTATTCTGTTGCCTTGTGGCTTCCCTTGGGGCCATTAGCAAATCTACTTTTGTTTTAATACTTTTTATTTCGTAGGAAATCTGATGTTTTCCTTTGATTGATTTAAAGATCTTTTCTTGGTCTTTTGTAGTCTGCAGTTTTCCCATGATCGTTCAAGGTATGGATTTATTGTTTATGCTGCTTAGAATTGTTTTCTAAATATGCTTCCTGAATGCCTTTCATCAATTAAAAACCTTTTTCATCCATCTTTCTCTATTTTAAATATTGCCTCTTCTACATGCTTCCTACTCTGTACTTCACGAAATATGATGAATTACAATTGACAACAATTACAACATTCATTACAATAACGTTGATTGAGTGTTTACTGTACATACGGTGATTTCAGGTGAATTGATGCATGTAACGCTCACAGCTACTACATGCAATAAACACTGGTTTTCCCCCATTTTGCACATAAAAACACCAAGACGCAACAAGTCCTCCCCAATCAAAGGTTAACAGGAAGAAGACCCAAGACCTGTAGAGAGGCATTTTGTAAGACAGGAAGAGAAGGAAAAATGAAAAGACAGGAAATCAAGGAGTGGAAATGAGTATGACATCACTTCCAGTGTTACGTACACTGTCTGCTTCAGGCTGAAACAAAATACTTATCATCACTGATGACAAAAATAAGATGTCTGGGTTGAGGATCCGCAAGTAGAAGTTTCTACCATAACCGCATAAAAACAATGCCATCAGACCTACCACTTCTAATCACCTTCTAAGAACCACAGATCCATAAGAATCTGCAGAAGGTCACCTTGGTCTATCTTTTTGCTTGAACAATGACACGGTATATAAAGACATGACACCACAAATGCTCTACTCTAGGTGCACTGGTGTCCAGGTCCACTTTCAATTCACTGAGCTCCTGGACCATGACTTGAAGAAAGAACTGAAATCTGAGGGCTTAAAAAAAAATGGTGGAGGGCATAATTATTTGTCCCACATGGAATGAATGAGTCAGCTGAGAGTTCTTCCCATGACCTCTGTAACAGTGTGTTGGTGGTGGGTAACAAGTGTCCCCTTTCCACTCACCGAGCAGTGGAAAGGACGTCATCTTCTTTGTCACACCCACAAAAGGGGAAAGTCCCACAGCAGGGCTGTAGCCATGGTTTCCAGAGGGTGTTGAACACCGAGAACTGCTGTGGGACAGGTGTGAGTGTCCTGCGATGCTCTTTGATGGCCGCCTCGATTTTCTTGACCACAGAGTCAAACAATGCTTCATTGTCAGGGTTAAGAGGTCGGGCCTCAGAAGGGTCTCTGGAGATGTCGAAGAGCAGGGGAGGATCGTGGTAGGTGACATCTCCAGAACACGAACAGATTCCACTCCCATAGCAGGCATCAGCTCCATCTGGGGAGAACTTGGGGGTCACGTAATGGACCTTCCACACTGTTGCACCTGGAAAACAGGCTCCATTGGAATGCCATATTTCTTCTCATTTTAGGACTCTTTCCCTTGAAAATATATTTCTCAAACACTTTTGCCAACAATTGATAATCTTTGTTTTAGTTTATTTTTTTAAGATTTAAGTTATTCGTTTGAGAGAGAGTGTGTGTGCATGAGCATGAGCCCCCGGGAGAGGGGCAGAGGGAGAAGCAGCCTCCCGGCCAAGCAGGGAGCCCGATGCAGGGCTTGATCCCAGGACCCTGAGATCATGACCTGAGCCAAAGTCAGATGCTTAACCAAGTGAGCCACCCAGAAGCCCCTGATCCTGGAAATTCTAACTCCAATCACTACTTTGCTCTGACGGGATATAGGCAAAGTAGAAAATTTTCTAAGGCTAATTACCACTTTCAGGTCTGATATTGACAAAGGTGATTTGGCAGGATCCATCATTCCTTGTTCTTTTCTTCCTCCCTCTGTCCCTCTTTCTTTTTTCCTTCCTTGTTTCCTTTCTTCCTGCATAAATGGTTAGTAGTTCTATTTCCGGAGATCAGTTTTAGATGGAAAACATCGTGTTTCCAAGCCTCTGATCAATGAGGCTTGCACAGAAGTCTGTGGGTGGGGTTTTGTAGAAAGGCTGTGTTTTTCTAATAAAATTAGGCTAAATCACCTGACTCAGCCCTTTACCCCTTTGCTCTTCTCTCTCCTTCCTGCATGGAGTGCGGAAGTGATGGCTGGAGAAACAATAGCCACTTTGCAACCAGAGCATTAGAAGGAGCATGAGAATGAAAACCGGCATGCCAGAGAGGGCAGAGTGGAAATAGAGAAAGAACCCAGATCCTGGTCATGGCATTGAGCACGGTAACAGCTCTGTGCTTCCAACTTCTGAAATCCTCATTATGATAATATAAGTAAAATTCTATTTGTTTAACCCTCTGTAGTTAAATTTGGGAAGCTTCTGTTGTTGAGGGGAGCTGTTTTGTTACTTGCCATTGACCATGCCCCTAACTGATATAGAATCTAGAAGGAAGAGATTTTTGTTGGTTTGTTCTAGTTTTATGGGGGAGATTCATCCACACTGACCTGAAGAATGGATCACACCACAAGTGATGGGTCACATGGGAGATAAATCCTATCTTTTCTGAAAATTAAGTTAACTCCCATCAAGTAAGAATTCTGGTGTCTACAGATGTAAGGAAATGAATATCTCTCTTTTTTTTTTTTTTAAAGATTTTATTTTATTTTTTTTAAAGATTTTATTTATTTATTTGAGAGAGAGAATGAGAGAGAGAGAGAGAGAGAGCACATGAGAGGGGGGAGGGTCAGAGGGAGAAGCAGATTCCCTGCTGAGCAGGGAGCCCGATGTGGGACTCGATCCTGGGACCCCAGGATCATGACCTGAGCCGAAGGCAGTCGCTCAACCAACTGAGCCACCCAGGCGCCCAAGATTTTATTTATTTATTTGACAGAGAGAGACACAACGAGAGAGGGAACACAAGCAGGGGGAGTGGGAGAGGGAGAAGCAGGCTTCCTGCCGAGTAGGGAGCCCAATGGCAGGGCTCGATCCCAGGACCCCGGGACCATGACCTGAGCCGAAGGCAGACGCTTAACGACTGAGCCACCCAGGCGCCCCTGAATATCTCTTGTTAATTTATATTTGTTTCCATGACTCCTATAGCATGAAGGTAAGGCAGAGATGATTAACTGGAAGGGGACAGTAACTGCTGTGTGGGTTACACTGCAGACTTTACTCCTTGTTGCCAATTATTTCCGTGTCCTTAGTTGTGGATATTCATATTCTCTCTCTCTGTCTCTTTCTCTCTCTGACGTATTCATGCATGCAAGCTTGCACACACCTCTAAAATCTACCACAGAGCAATGACTGCTTAACTAACTTCCCTAAGGGAAAAGAACCATCATGGCTGGGTGCTGTTTGTATATGGCCCAACTTCTGCCAAGACGAAAAGGAAACAGGGTTGTGCCTTTACCGTATTCCCACATGTCAGCCATCTTCATACTCACAGTCCTTCTGATGCCACCTGGCTGTGTGCAGGTAGACCCCACAGTAATGGAAGAGGAACTCATGCTCCGAGTGGGACACCCTGCCTTCCAGCAGGGGCATTAGGTTCCGACCATCGATGACTCTTAGGAGAGAGGGAGAGATGAAGAAAGTGGTGAGAGAGGCTTGGGTTGGTCACACATATTATGACAGGAGGAGGAGGGGGGAGCGGAGGGGGGAGGAAGTAGAAGAAGAAGGAAGAGGAGGGGAAGGGGAAGGAGAAGGAGAAGAGGCAGAGTAGGAGGAGTAGGTGGGGGGGGGTGGGAGGGAGGAAGAAGAAGAAGGAAGGGGGGAGAAGAAGAAGAGGAGGAGGAGAAGGAGGAGGGGGAGAAGAAGGAAGAAGAAGAAGAAGAAGAAGCAGAAGAAGAAGAAGAAGAAGAAGAAGAAGAGGAAGAAGAAGAGGAGGAGGAGGAGGAGAAGAAGAAGAAGAAAAAGAAGTAAAAGAAGAAGAAGGAGGAGGATGAGAAGGAGGAGAAGAAGAAGAGGAAGAGTAGGAGGAGGAGGAAGGAAGGGGAGAAGAGGAAAGGACTTTAAAAATAAGCTTACTACACATCTTCACTCATTTTATAACAAAAAGAACAACAAAAACAAAAAAATAAAAAAAACTGAGAAAGAGGCAAACCTCACACAATTTCTAAGACAGTGGGAGAGGTGAGCGGCTGGAGGTATTATTCTGATACCTTGTAAGACACTATGAGTGAGTGTCATGGATTAGAAAACTGAGCTCTTGACACTCATTTGATTCAAATAAAACTGTGCCGCAGATGAATAGATACTAGTCCTCACACATGGAATTTAATTATTAGAGCATGAAATGCATTTATGCATCTCAAAGCCCATAGAGAAAGAAGGCATAATTCATCACACATACATTTACACATACTTACATTTATTCAGTAATTCACCTAATAAATATTTGCTTAATGGTCTAGGTGCTGTGGGGGATATACAACTGAATGAGAGTCGATCCCAACCATGAGGACAACAGAGCCTATGTCTGTGTAAGTATGAGAGACAAAGTAGAACATATTCTAATAGGGAAACAGACAAGCTATCCCACCATCTGTTAAGGGCAGATGGCCTGTTGTCTGGCCATCTTAGCAGATTACTGAAAATTAAGTAATATACCACACATACACACAGAACATTTGCTGATATATCCAAGCGCATGTCAGATGTATCGGACAGGTTAAGAACAAGCACTGTTTCCATATACCTGTCCTGGGGCAATATCCCTCCACCTATATAAGACAGTGTCGGGTAAATGTCCATTAGGCTCGTTGGTTCGTCAATCACTTTCCCAGCCTCCAGGACTGTCGGCCACCGGAATATTCCTGGGACACGAATGCCCCCTTCCCATCCGCCCATCCCCTTGCCACCTAAAATCAAAAATCAAAGTCAAAGATGAAGTCAAGTCAACCATATTTCTCCACTCAGTTGGAAATTACATCTAGATGGAACGTTTTCTGTCACTTGTCAAATTCATCCCAGTGTTCTATATTCACACACACAGAGAGATACAGACAACCTGAGATATATTTCTTGCTTTGCAGAAGTTGAAACTCGACTTGTGAACATCTGGCCATCAAGCGACAAACCCATCTATAACAAATAAAAACAAGTGATGTCCTAATACGGTGTGTTATTTTGTACCAATGAGTGCCACGGAGTTTCACTATTATGAGAAAAGAGAACATTCTGTAATCTGGCAAATCTTCAGTCTTTATTGGAATCACACTGGGCTCTAAAGGATGGATAAGTAAATGAGGCTCCAAGCAAGACCAGAGAAATGGGTTCTACCTGGGCCATGCTGATCCTTGAGAGAAAATAAGGAATTTGAACTTTATTCAGTGATTCCCCATATGGACGAAGATGGAGAGGTCATAGGCTCGTGAATGGTGCAGAGGTGGATAAAGCATTGAGGATCCCATCTCGGACAAAGGACATTTCGGGTGTTTCTGAGCACAAAATAGATGAGCCCGTGTGCTTTAGGACCTATCCTACGGTCAAGATGTTCATTGCAGAATAGAGATACAATCCTAAGCCAAATGACATAGTCAAGATCATACAGACTTTTTTAAGGGAAAACAATGAGATTCTCTGGGTGGGGTGGGAGGAAACTCTTCCAAAGTAGAACAAACATGAAATGTTCATGGAACACCTTTTACGTGCTGGTCACTCTGGCAGTATGAATTACAAAGAAAAGACAAGATGGGGTATCTCCATGTGGAAGTGGGGAGACATTAAATGGGAAAACATTTCGGGACAAAGACTCCGGTCTAGCCAGGGTCCAAAGCTGTCCCAGTTCATCAGCACCGTTCTTTCTGGAAAACTTAACAAGCTCCCCGCACTGAATTTATGTTTGTATACCAATAAGCAACAAACAAAAAACCAAACGTAAACCCACCTTGGCATTTTCATGGTCCTATTTAATAGCCAGTGACTGTGTTAGGTACCTACAAAAAATCTAACCTTCTACCCAACCACCCAAATTTGTCTCTCAAATGGACTCAGCTCCTCCTGGTGATCTGGAGGCCAGTTCCAAAGGTAAAATCTGCTCACAACAATTTTCCTGTACCTCTTTGAGAGCTATGTGAAAGCACTTTTTAGAGTGATGGTTTTATGCACACACAACCCCCCACCACATGCACACACACAAGCAATGTCACTGTTAAAATCATCACATCTCATTTGGTGGCATATATAACCGTATATATTAATTTTATTAAACACCTTTGCTACTAGGCTTGTGACCAATTTAGTCTATGCTAATTAGCAGTATGTCTACGGCAAGCTGACATGACCCACCAGAAAAGGTGAATATATTTAGGAGCTCACTTGTTGTCAATCACAATATATAACATTTCTATTATATCTATCTATAATCTATCTATCCATCTATCAATCATCTATCTATCTATCTATCTATGGATCAACCAATATATCTATCATCTATATACCTATCCATATACCTATCACGTCTTTGTAGCCATCCATCCATCCATCCAACCATCTATCTATCCATCTATCTATCATCTATCTATTCCTTCCATCCATCAATCCATCCACCCATCAATCCATCCATCCACCCATCCATCCATCCATCATCTACCTATCTATCCTAAATTGTTTCATAAAGTACAAGGAACTCCTAAAGTTCTGATTTTTGTAATGATGACAACTTTGACACCCTTTTACATTTTTTTTTTGATTGGGTTGGGGGAGGTAGGAGGGGAGTATCAAACACCAAATTCATTTTTAAACTCTTTTTGATCCGCTTTGCTGATCCATAAGGGCAGGCTCAGGGGAGCTATTGAATAATCCAGCAGGGAGTACATCAAAGATGTCAGAAGAATCCACTCGCAATGAGGAGGAAGGCACCCACTCCAAATGAACACCTCATTTCCTGATCATTTCACAGTGTTTGAAGCATAGTGATGACATAATTGATTTCATTCCATTAAAAACCTGGATTTGGGTACTCAGGTTAGTATTATACTAGAGCAAGTGGTTCTCAACTGGAGAGGACTTTGGCCCCACGGGACACTGGGCAATGTCTGGAGACAGTTTAGGTTGTCACTATTTTGATAGGGAGGGGAGTGGTAGGTGCTCCTGGCAACTGTAGGGTGAAGATCAGGGATACTGCTCAACACCCTACAGTGCCTAGAACGTCCCACATCAAAGAGTCATCCAGCCCCAAATGCTCAGAGTGCCAAGCCTGAGAGACCCGCTTTAGATGGTCATTGAGAACCTCTGTATTTACACTCAAGAAGCTCTCATTACTTCAGGCATTGTTGTCTTAAATTCTCAGACATTGCCCCAGACTTGCACCTTTTTCCATCCAGTTTCATAACAGAGTATAACTCCCACAAAAATCTCCAAACCAAGTTTGCAAATGAATGCACGTGCAGGCAAAACGAAGTAGACCCCACTGAGGGATTAAACTGAAACACATGGACTCTGCACATCACCTTTGTAGATCCCATTGAAACCACCCAGCTTGACCTCGCCTTCCTGCACCTCCAGGCGACCCCCGTTGTCTGAGGTAAAGTACACCAGCGTGTGGTTGGCCAGGTGCTCCTGGTCCAGGGTCTCCAGGATCTTACCTGGTGTGGGGGGAAACAAAAAACTCACCTTTCACCATGGACCACTGTCAGTCTATGACGTGACTATTATTAGGCATTTGTTAGCATAACAATATAATTAAGGGTTATTTTATTGTATAGGCTATCATAATATATAATAAATCATGATCCTATACTCTAATACATGTGTAGTATATGTAAGTATTCTATACAGCAGAGACATAAATAAATCCTATATGCCATAGAATACATATACTAGACAGTGTAGAATATAAAATTGAGCTTTATATATTTATAATTATTTTTTATATTTTACACTATATAATATTTTATATATGTATATAAAAGCATGTATTCAATATAAATGCATAATAAAATAATAAGAATATATAATATAAATTATTTATATCTAATAATATAATAATGAATAGAATTCTATTTAAAATATAAAAGATGTTTCTATAATATATTTTAAATCATAATAAACTGTAATACATAATATATACTATAATAGATGATAAATATATTATTTGTATGTAAATATATAAAATATAATTTGTATTATAATCCTATATACTTCCTATAGTATATATATAATGAATATTATGATCATTACATTATATGAATATTATATTATGAATATTATATATGAATATTATATATTATTATATTATATAGTAATATGTAATATATGATATGGTAATATATGATATATGATATACAAATATGTAATATATGATATGTAAGTATAATGAAATATTTATAACTATAAAAGTTATAATTAATAATATCTTGAAAGATCATATTAAATATATAATATAATCTATTATAGAATACAAAAAATCTACTAAAATATTGTATAATGTTTGATGATTATATACTATATAATAGTGTTATATAATGGTTACTTATTATATAATACTAATAGATAATATTTTATCGTATAATATGTAATTTTATTATATAACATTTAATATATCATTTTAGTTTGTAATGAATGATTTTCTTATCTAATATTTAAGAAATATAATATATAATATATATAAAATATGACATATACTACCTGTAAGAAATATATATTATACAATATATAAGAATATGTATTTATTTTACAAGTTACATAATAATATATACACACATTATATACACACACTGCATAGACACATACAATATATTAGAAAGTATGAACTAGTATGTAGAACACATCATCATCACTCAAAATTCAAATAACCATTAAATATTAGGCCTGTCAGTTAAAAGAAACTTACAGACACTAATAAAACAGAGAAGACAGTTCAAAAACTGACATGTCCAGGAATAAATTCGCAGAGTCATACCCTTGCTCTAGAGAGCATGAGCCCCACCCCTAAAGGATGCACTATCCCCACGCCCTTCTAAAGGTTGCATCTGACCTGCAGGTTATTCTTGTAGTTAAGCACGCGACCATAATTAATACTTCACTAGACTCGGCAAGCATCGTGCTGATGTGTGGACAATCTCTTAAGGGGACAAAGGACTTTTTTTTTTTTTAATATTTTATTTATTTGTCAGAGAGGGAGAGAGCACAAGCAAGGGGAGCGGCAGAGGCAGAGGGAGAAGCAGGCTCCCTGCTGAGGAAGGAGCGTGACTTGGGGCCCGATCCCAGGACCCTGGGATCATGACCCGAGCCGAAAACAGAAACTTAACCTACTGAGACACTCTGGCATCCTGGGGACAAAGGGTTTTTGAAAAAAAAAAAAACCAAGTAGAAAGCTGATCTAGCCACATCCCAATCTATGCTGATTTAACTGATTTAAGCATAAACTCATTAACCTTTCTGTTTCCTTGTTTAAAACGGATTTGTTTTAGAAGCCACATGGGCCATTTTTTAGAAATGTTGCAGCTAGAAATTAATATATTTTAAAGCCCAGATTACAGAAGATAAAGATTATAATGGCTTCTTGGTAAGAGAATAATTACATGTAAATTATGAGCTCTCATTAGAGCTGGCTATTGCATTTAGCATAAAGGTTATTTGTAACTTATACCAAGTAAATAAAACACGTGCCAATCCTTTTGTTTTTTGGAAATGCATATATGTAAGCTTCTGTGTATGCAATGTATAAAACACGTAAAAGCGTGTGTGTAGACGTATGTGCATATGGCAACAGAATAGTCATAAAATCTCTTACAAGACAAAAATACAAGGAAAGAAGGCAAGAATGAAAAGCCGCTAAAATATGTTTTTAAAGTACAAGTTCCCTCGAATAGAGAATTTAAAATATCGCTGAACACTTGGAGCCTTCAGGACATTCGCTTTGCATGCCGTTCCAAGGACACCACTGTTATGGCTTCTTCCTGAGAAGGTTGTTAACTTGGGAAATGATCTTAAGTTTTATCATCATATTGCAAAGTAGAAACAAACCCACACACAAAAGACACTTCTCTGATTTTTGATCTGCCTCTGGTTTTGATATGATTTTCATAAGCCATGAAGGGGAAAAAAACACAGCATATTGGGAAGATGTCATGCAGAGAAATACCTACTTTTCATTTCTCCCATGTAAACGGTATTAGCTTGGGAATGCAATTAAAAATATTACTAAACGCAGTTAATAGTATTTACAGCGCGTCTGCATCGTGTATTTGCACAGACTACAAAATAAACCTAATTAGCTGTTTGTGGCAAACTCTGCATATAAACATGGACAGAAAGTCTTTTTTGCATAAAACTGCTCTCTGACTCGAGATACAAATGCCTTGTTTCCAAAGCAGATGATCCTGGACGATAATAAACATCAAGGAAAGAAATCATAATCTTACAACTACAGTAAAGTTACAATGTTAGAGTTGTTTTTACTGTAGCAGGTATCAATGTTTGTGTGTATTTGCCAGGGAATTACTATATATATATAGTAACATGCATATATAGACATATAAACAGTATATGTAAATGTATACATATATGAACATTAATATTTAACTTGCATGGATAGATTTTAAATGTTAATTTAAATTATATTCTTAGTTGATTTAATATCAATAGATATTAAATGCATGTTTATATATACCTAATATATGTAAAAGTAACCTTTTTATATTTAAGAAACTTAAAAAATTTGGGGCGCCTGGGTGGCTCAGTTGGTTAAGCGACTGCCTTCGGCTCGGGTCATGATCCCGGAGTCCCGGGATCGAGTCCCGCATCGGGCTCCCTGCTCGGCGGGGAGCCTGCTTCTCCCTCTGACCCTCCCCCCTCTCATGTGCTCTCTGTCTCTCTCATTCTCTCTGTCTCAAATAAATAAATAAAATCTTTAAAAAAAAAAAAAAGAAACTTAAAAAATTTAAAATTCTGTGAATATTAGTTTAGGTGGTTCTGCACAGAACACTTTTCAGAAGCTTCTACTAGTAGAAGAAAAAAAAAATCATCCTGTGCTTCACAATTTTTGAGATGAAAAAATACTCCATCATGTCCAATTGAAGGAAAAGGCAATTTGGAAAGCACGCTCAGTTGTTTTATGGATATGCACGCGGTGCTTCTCCCCGACCCAACCTGTCTCTGCAGCAGTCCCCGCCCGCATTCGTGACCTTTTGTGTTCGTTTCCACATTGAACCCTTATGAATTTGAAACAAATGGCTTCAGTTTAGGTAAATTCCGTCCCGCGTTTCTAAGCATTTCTCGTAAAAAAATGAGCTAATGGGAAAAACACATTTCCTTTTATATCCCTCAGAATGATGGGGAAGGGCAGTATCCTTTACAATGCAACTTCATGCATTTTGAACAATGAGTCTTAATTTTAAAGACGGGAAAACCCCATATTTATAATTGCGACTGTTTTCTTGGGGGGGAATAGTCAGTGATTTTGCTGCACCTACAGCCAGATCTTGAATTAGTTCCCTGGAACCAATATTTGCCGACTGCCCAAGATCCACCAGGGGCTGTCCGTTGTTTGAAGCAATCAGGATGCGTTCACTTTCTCTAGCCCATGCATCAGATACTTTAGATTGTTTTTCTCGACACTTACCCACCATCCAATCCATTTCTTCGACATTATCCCCATAGAGTCCGTATTTACTGTGCCCCACAAACTTCTCTTTGGTGATCAGTGGAGTGTGGACATGCAGGAAGGACACAAAGAGGAGGAAGGGGCTGCGTTTATACCTAAGGGGTGAAACGTGAACTGAGTTATCATCACAAACAAAGGCGTTTTCTCCCCTGGGATAGGATTCCTCATCAGCTGAAAGATCTCGCAACAGTTGACAGAGGTTGTCTAGGTCCTCACATGACCAATATCACTCAGGAGATTAACAACTAGCACAGCAGGACATCAGCGGAAAGGCCGTGAGTAGGAAGAAAGAATAGCGGGGCATTTGCATTAGCAGCAAAATAGCAATTGCAGTCTGTCTCCTGAAGAAAGACTTCTTCATTCCTTCCTCCTCCTCCTCCTCCTCAATGCTGTCTGGAATGTAAATGTGATGGCTGGAGCTTTGGCATTAACTTTGGGCCAGGAGGCTGCTTGCACAGAATCACAGGTAGCAAGATAGAAGGAGCTAAGATGCTAATACATCTTGTTTGCTGTGTTCTGCATTTTAATGTCCCATGGAGCCATTTAAGATTCCTCCTTCACATGCTTTTACAACCGGGCATTATAAAGGGGGAAGGGCATAGAGATTGGGTGTGTTCTATCAAAGACAGCCCATGGGAGTGACAAGCAGAGTTGAGTGACTGCATTCCGACCACTGTGTTAGAGCAAAGGATCAAAGCATATGAATGGATGAGATCCCATTGTCGGACGCATCATCCCCACAGAGTTACACCTTTTCCTCTTCCATCCACTCCCCTGTACCCCATACACACCAGGTCAATGAGCATCCACACCCACAACTCAATCTGCTTCTAGTTGGTAACCTAGAAGGGAGCTGGTATGCAAAGACGGGAGACCATTACCTTCATGCCCACGTGGCTTGTATTGAACACATAAAACCTCAAGTTAGGTATCTATACATAGAATCACTCCCTCATTATTCATGGACACAGAAGGATTTTCGGGCTGCTTCTAAGGCAAACCAAAATCAACATCAATCCCAAAGACTGAATCCATTTAGATCCCAATCCATATTGAAGTGATACGGATCAAAGCATAAGGATTCGTTTTTATAAAAAAGAGTGAGCACAATATATTTCTTTACCATTTCAGAGTTTACAATTTGCAGGAAATTTAACATTCAATTTTATTCTAAGTAGAGATTCTACTATATGGCAAATACCGCGCGTGAGCGTGCGCACACACACACACACACACAAGAAGGCCCATATCCCCAAGATGAACCCGACTTCTCCGAAACACAGACAAAATTCCCATGCATGGAATCGGGCCGGAAATGACTCCATACCTGTCGATAAAGGCAAGTGCCTCCTTCAGCAATAGGGAAGCCACTCTTTCCTCCCGCATCGGCTGCTGGATGATATCATCGTTTCTCATAAGAATACAGTTCCAACGCCGAGTAAACCCGTAACTGGAGTACCAGGAAATGAAAAACAGGAAGGCAAGAAGAGCGAAGGTGAGGATGACCTTCCACGGAACGGCGAACCAGCAGGCGAACTTGGGGATGAGGAGCAGGAGGGGGACGAGGCTGAGCACCACCGTGGAGATCCAGAGTTTGATCCTGAGCCAGCGGTGCAGCTCTGGAGTCTTGGACGTCTGACAATCGCTTATCAGGCCAAAGGGCAGCCCGTAGAAGTAGTCAAACCCATGGTTGAGGGGGTGGTAACAGTGATCATCCCGAGAGGCACAGCTCAAACCCTGGTGCCACTTGCCTGCAGGAGAAACAAAATGGCGGCAGATACATCTACCTGTTTCTAGAACGTGGGCTTCACTTAGCAAAAGTTAAATACGACTTGCACTCCCTTGCCATGGGGATATCTTCTTGGTACCCCAGTCACCTCCCTGAGGATGCTAAGAAGGTTCCCATATTTGTCACCAACACTGCTTTCCCTACACCCTGCATCTTTCAGACTAAAACAGGGCAGTAGAAACCCCTTTGCTTGCTGCTCTCTCTCTCCAAAATAAATAAATCTTTAAAAAAATAAAAAAATAATAAAAATAAATAAAAACGCACTCACTTCTCTGCTAGTAATGATGTCATAAAAGTAGCATACCCCCCACCTCGCCCCCTACAGAATATTCCATTTTGGTGATAGCAATGGATGAGCCCATTTGCTTTTGGTTCCCGTGATTCTTCCAATACCCTGCTCGAGATACTAAAGGTCCTGGGTAATCGTGCATTAAATCCATACCCCACGCGTGTCCTCACAACAAGAGGTCACTGGAGTGGGTCCAGCTGACGTCCCGGGGAAGCTCGGTCCCAGTGAAAGGGGACGTGCACAAGCATGCTTCCGAGTTCAGAGTCCTGCGTGCCATACCTATGAGCCCCGTGCGGTAGCCGCGATGCTGCAGCAGTGTGGCAAAAGTCGTTTCATTGGCGGGCAGACCACCCGAGCCTCCGAGCCAGGTGAGCTCGCGGTTCAGGTTGAAGCGAGATGCCATTCCTGAAGTCACAGGAGGAAGCACCCCATGAGTTCCACAGTCCCTCTTTCTTGACAGTCATGACAAACCCCAGGATTCATCCTCCTCTCCTTGAAGTGTCTCCTACTGAGCCCCCACCGTGCTGTTCTTTCCCGAACGTTCCCTTGCCTTTTTGCCTCTACTTAGCTTGTCCTCACATTTGCCAGATGCAGATGTTCTGTGGGGATCGGGATCATGAGCTCAATACACGACACGCCCGGTCACACTGGAATTTCATATGAACAATGAATGATTTCTTAATACAGGCCTGCCCCCCATGTTGCACGGGGCATACTTGTCCTTAAAATCTAGGCACTGATGATTCAAAATTCAAATATAACCGTGCATGTGACTCTGGGGATGATATCCTTGGACCTCGGTTCTGAACTTTGATGTCATCTTTCTACATGGTGAGAAACCCAGGTCTCCTCCAGATCCTCCTCTGAAGTTGAGGTCCTAGACATCTCTATACTTAGGAGCCCAAATCTCAACATGACCAACACAGAGTCCATGGTCATCATACTTCAAACCTGCCTCAACCAAGGACACCATAATCCCCCCCAGCCACCCAATCCATGAATTCCTTTGGGATCCTCCCTCTCACTCAGAGTCACCTCTTCTGTCCAATCCCATGTCAAGTCCTGATAACTCTAACTGGGTAAACGGTTTGGATATTTATCTCCAACGCCATAGCTTTCGAGCAGAGATTCAGCTGGGCTGTGCTTTGATGTCCACAAGCCAATCTCTGTCCACCCTCCCAGGCATCTTCTGAAGAACCCTTCCAGCCCATGTCCCTCCCCTGGTCAAACCTCATTCCTGTCCGTCCATCACCCTCTGTTGAAATCTAAATCTGGGGTGGAGTTTACACAGTGTTTGGTAATCTGAGACAACTGATTATTGCTGTGGCTACCTCATTTGCCTAGCGCACTCATGCCTGACTGCATTGTCTATGTGGGCCACTTCCTCTGCTGAGCACACCCTCCCTCCTGACTGCTCACATTTCAAGGAACTTCATCCAGGAGGACTTTCCTCGGATGCTGTAGAGGTCCCTATGGGCTTCCAGCGCTCACTGAACTATTCTTTGCATCTCGACCACTGGAACTCTTGGCGCCTTGAGGTGCATATGTCCTACTTATGTTACAACTACCAAGAATAAACCTATAAGTGAAAGGCATCACACAAACATGCACAACCAATAAAAAAAAACAAAATATGTTAAAATAGCATTGTGATCCAATCTGCTTCTTGTTTTTCCATTCTCAACAGAAACAGGTACATTAAAAAGGATGCCTTTTGCCAAATCCTAAAAGACAAAAGCCTACCTATCATTTTCAAGAAAAGTGGTTACGTCTTTTAATTAATTATAAATATATGTATAGATGTTAGTGTGTGTATAAAAATTTGATGGAGCAGAACTTTGATCCCATCTTGCTACATGGTGAGAAACCCATGTCTCCTCCAGACCCTCCTCTGAAGTTGAGGTCCTATGTAGACGTCTCTATACTTGGGTAGAAACTTAGATAGATAGAAACTTAGGGATTGGGAATATCGGTAACTTCTACATCATAAAAGGTTCAATATGTTGTAGCTGAGTATAAAAGTTGATATCCATAATGTTGATTCTACAACATCATCTTGTGTGTGTGAGAGAGAGAGAGAAAATGTATGAGTCTCCTTCTTTTTCATGTTCTTCTCAAGAGCTTCTTCTGGTTCCAATCGCATGCCCTGACACTGGGCAGACCCACTTTTCTTGGAACTATGATATGCTTTCTGCTAGCTTGAAGACAAAAGGAACATCTTGAAGGCTCTGACCACAAGTACTTGCAGATCCTACAAGCAGCTGGGATATTGCTCTCCAGAAGCCCAAACCCTTCGTTGTATGCACACAGGCGAGCAGGCTTGGTGGCCCCTGGCAAGAGACCCACCTGTTTATGCTGTATAGCATGAAGGTAAACAACACGACCCCCATTTGCAAGTAGATTCTTAATACCAGAAGTGACCTTTTGAGAATCCTTACGAAGAGTAGCAAAAAATAAAGAAGAAGAAAGCATGACATAAAGACAACATTGTCCTTGCATTGCCCTGTCGCACCTGATCGGATGGGGTACCGGCCCGTCAGGAAGGCAGCCCGACTCGGGGTGCATACGGAAGCAGCTGACAAGTGCTGGGTGAGCCTCACGCCCTCGTTTGCCAGGCGGTCGATATTCGGTGTGCTGAGGACAGAAGGAGGATTCATCACGCGGGTTTCTAATTCTCAACGAAACAAAGAAGATTCAAAGCCATTCTGTTCTGAGTCCAGCTGACTCTGTTTCCAGTAAACCTAAAATACGTGCCTTTTAAGCTTCAATCCATCTACCTGTTTAGAGGCCTCCTCGATGGTCACAAGGAAATGGAAAGCAGACTTTAAAACAGTATATCTTCAGGCCAAACAATTGCAGACTAATATAGGTCCGCGGTATAATTAAACTATAACTAGTCTGAGCTCATAGGCATTTCAAGGCAAACGTTAGTCCGTTTGCTCATATTATACTCCTGAAAGGAACGGGTGACTTGGATTACATAAAACTTTACTGTATTTCTTGTAGTAACATGTATCTTTTTTTTTTAAATAACTAAATGGTGACATTTTGGAGTTTAAATTACCTCCCACGTTGCTCATCTGATATTTTAAGGTCTCGAAAAATTTCTTGGAGTATCTATAGAATATAGGCTCACACAGGTGCTTTTAGCAAATCCCATAAGCTAAGGTATCCCCAATCTTAATAACACGTGAATGACATACTAGCCTCACAACCCTGCAGCAGTGTGATGGGGGAGAGAGTCCTGTACCCGCAAACACTCTCAGTATCTGTGTGGGGGAGAGTCAGCAACTGGACAAGACGGACAGTACCAGATTCTCAAGCAATGTCTCCTGCCTTACCCGTTACTTCCTTGTGGGAATTAAATAGCAGACAAATGTGCTCATGTAGACCTTAAATGCCTTAAAGAACATCATCTCCTTTCAAAGTCCGAAAATATGCTTAAATATAGGACTGTTCCATGAGCCACATTCCAAGGAGAAACGATGGTATTTAAGTTCACACTAAGAGGCACTGTGTATTTGCACAGGAATAAGGTTTGTCTGGTGCTGGGGAGTAAGGACATACAGAAGGATCGTGGTCACCAAAGGCTTCGGACATAATTCAGGGAAGACCCTGAAACACTCTAACGGCATTCGTCTCTGCCGTGCAATATTATTCAACTACAGACAGAAAGGAAGGAGGGATAGTTACTGCCACATCGCTGAGAACATGATGCTCCGTGAAAGAAGCCAGACTCAAAAGGGCACATAATGTGTGTTGTGGGCTGAACGGTGGTCCCCCAAAATTCATAAGTAGGAGTCCTAACCCTGAAGACCTCGGAATGGGACTGTTTCTGGAGTTGGGGTCGCTAAAGAGGAAACTGAGTTAAAACGAAGTCAGGGGTGGGTCCTAATGCAAGAGGAGGAGCGTCTTGTAAGAAGAGGAGATGAGGACACCCACAGAAGGAGGACCACATGAGGACACAGGGAGAACACGGGGTCTACACACTAGGGAGAGGGGCTTCATGAGGACCCAGCCTCAGCCCCGCCTGAATCTCACACTCCCAACCTCGGCCCCACCTGGATCTCAGACTCCCGGCCTCAGCCCCGCCTGCATCTCAGACTCCCAGCCTCCAGCCCCACTTGGATCTCAGACTCCCAGCCTCAGCCCCGCCTGGATCTCAAACTCCCAGCCTCAGCACCCCCTGGATCTCAGACTCCCAGCCTCCAGCCCCTCCTGGATCTCAGACTCTCAGCCTCGGCCCCACCGGGATCTCAGACTCCCAGCCTCCAGCCCCACTTGGATCTCAGACTCCCAGACTCCAGCCCACCTGGATCTCAGACTCTCGGTCTCAGCCCCGCCTGGATCTCACACTCCCAGCCTCGGCCCCTCCTGGATCTCAGACTCCCAGCCTCCAGCCCCACTTGGATCTCAGACTCCCAGACTCCAGCCCACCTGGATCTCAGACTCTCGGTCTCAGCCCCGCCTGGATCTCACACTCCCAGCCTCGGCCCCTCCTGGATCTCAGACTCCCAGCCTCCAGCCCTGCCTGCATCTCAGACTCCCGGCCTCAGCCCTGCCTGCATCTTAGACTACCAGCCAGGGCCCAGCTGCTCCCGCGGGCCCGAGGCACCCCCCCTCCGCAGCGGGGCAGGGGCGGCTTCCTTACCTCACTGTGTTGTTACTGTAGCAGCACAAGTCCCCCACCCCAAGGTCGTCCGCCATCAGCAGCACAATGTTGGGCCTGGAGTTCCCCGTGGCGAAGGCCGCGCTCAGGCCCCCAAACCAGCAGCACAGGCCCACGGACAGACGGCAGGTCCTGGAAGCATTTGGGGACGTGACAAACACAGCAACTCACACTGTCAATCCACGTTTGCCCCGTGGACAACTGAAAAGACCGTGTTGTGCTATTTCTCACCAGTTCCCGCTGCATGGTGCACCTTGGCCTGCCTGACTTGGAAACCAGAATTACTTTTATTTTATTTTTTACTTTGTATTTATTTTTTTATTCTTATGTTAATCACCATACATTACATCATTAGTTTTTGATGCAGTGTTCCATGATTCATTGTTTGTGCACAACACCCAGTGCTCCATGCAGAATGTGCCCTCCTCAATACCCACCACCAGGCTAACCCATCCTCCCACCCCCCTCCCCTCTAGAACCTCAGTTTGTTTCTCAGAGTCTTTCTCAAGAAACAAGAAAGGTCTCAAGTACACAACCTAACCCTCCACCTAAAAGAGCTGGAGAAAGAACAGCAAATAAAGCCTAAACCCAGCAGGAGAAGAGAAATAATAAAGATCAGAGCAGAAATCAATGAAATAGAAACTAAAAGAACAGTAGAACAGATCAACGAAACTAGGAGCTGGTTCTTTGAAAGAATTAACAAGATTGATAAACCCCTGGCCAGACTTATCAAAAAGAAAAGAGAAATGACCCAAATCAACAAAATCATGAATGAAAGAGGAGAGATCACAACCAACACCAAAGAAATACAAACAATTATAAGAACATATTATGAGCAACTCTATGCCAGCAAATTTTGTATTTATTTTTAAAGATTGTATTTATTTATTTGAGACAGACAGAGAGAGAACACAAGCGAGGCGGACGGGCAGAGGGAGAGGGAGAAGCAGAGGCCCCACAGAGCAAGGATCCCAATGTAGGAGCTCAATCCCAGGACCCCAAGATCATGACCTGAACCAAAGGCACATGCTTAACCAACGGAGCCACCCAGGTGCCCCCAGAATGTTTTTTTTTTAAGTCTTATTCTATGTTAACATACTACAACATACACATTAATTTTCTATGCCTTGTAATATTTAAATTCTTATAACTTCCCAAACTGTTTCATGATAGGAGACCCTTAATGAAGCCCTAATAGTGTTTAAACTTGAATGGAAGGCCTAATAATTTGATTTATTGGGATTAAAATGTAAACAAAATAGAAAATCGGACGCAAATCACCAGCTAGTCTGGCTTTTTTTTTTTTTTTTAATGTTTAGTTGTACTTTTTAATACATTAAAATATATATTTAAAATAACATTGGGAATTCTTTCAATATCTGAGAAAGGAAAATTAACATACGTGTATATGTTACTATTAGGCTGTAGGCTCATGCCTTCGTAACTGCTAAAGGCTATCGTATGCTCCGAAGAACACAACAGCCTTTGATCGAAATCGCTCCAAGTTGAGGACCACTGTCTCCTGCAGGAAACTGGTTCTTCATCCCCAAATTCCATCCGATCCATTGCAAGCCCTGTTCGCGCTCCCTCAAAAAATGCATCTTAAATCTACTTGCATGCATCCAGCTACAGGCCCATGAGGGCAGGCCAAGGAACTCAACAGCGTGTCTCACTTGGACATCTCCAAACTCTCCCAAATGGCCTGGGCTGTCCCATTTTTGCCACTTGGGCCCCTCCAAAATGCAGCCAAGCTGAGCAACGCTATCAACGTACAAATCTGCTTGCAATGCTCCCTCGCCAAGTCCAGTGACTGCCCATTGTGTCATGATTGGCAAGCCTCACCAAGTGGCGCTCTTTGCTGCTCCATCATGCTTTCTTCTCACTACCCACCCCCCAGCCTTGGCTTATCCATGGGCGTCCTTGAAATCCCTACAAGGATCCGTGAGTTTGGACCTTGTACAACCCCTGTGTCTCTGCAACATCCTGCTGTTCGCCCTATGAATTCGCACACATGCTGTCATTCCTAAGGTAAGCATTGCTTCCGCAGAAAAGCCCTCCTGTGGGACTCCAGCAACCCACAGCCCCTAGCACACCCCCCATTATCCTTAGCGGGTGTCAGGCAGATGAAGTAGACCAAACACCAGCCGAGGTGAGGAACCCTGGGACCCTTCTGTCTGGGGTACAGAGAAAAAGGAAGGTTTGCGAAGTCACCTACTTACCAGTTACAGATTGTCAGCTTCATGACTGCGTATTCTGCTCCCCTAGGGAAGAAAAAGAAAAAACAGAAGAGGTACAGAACCAACATTTCTCTCATAGACAGGCAGTCAATCCAAAGTACTAAAGAACCTGTTGATCGCAAACCAGTCATGTTGGTGCAGAGAGAATGTGACAAAGAACATGCACGACCCACTCATTTCTGAGTAAATGTCATGGCAGATTTCCAACACATGATGTGGATCTGGCAACAAAAACCCTTCATGGCAGAGTCACTGAAATAAATGAGTCACCCACGAATGGGCATGCAATCCGTAACTATTTCTAACACCCATACGGTATGTATGGTACTCTCCTGCAAAGAACATTTCTCTGCCCAAGGTGGATAAGCAATGTCTACCTTAAAAAAGCACAGTGATGAACACTGTGGACCTATGGCGATGTTGGCCAAACTCATTGAGGGCAAGAAGGCATGTTCAGCAGCTATAATTATGATCCTTTTATAAGAGTCCAAAGGGTGGTAGAGTCCTGTGTTCTCCCCACAGAAGACCCTGAAATGGCTCCAAGTTGGTGATGCTTCGTAGGCTAAGGAGTCACCCCACAAGACAAATGCTATATAATAACAATTAATGACACCACCCCAGAGTTTATAGGGCTTTTTCATTCCCAAGGCATCTCCAGTGTTCCCACTGGATCCTCAAAATATCTCACCCTGCTTTGCCTCGAAAGCTTAATGACACTTCTTTTGTTTTATGGGAGAGGGAGCTGGAGTCATAGAGTTTAGAACACTTTCACAGAGGCTGGTAAATTGGAGATGTGGCATCCAGGAGGTCTCTGCCTTAATATCTTGTGTGTGTGTGTCCAATTCCCAGGGCTCCCTTGTCATCTTAGACTTCCAGGAAGGCTCTCAGGCGGGACGTTTCTAGAGGCCGACTCCCCTGGCACATTTGGTGAAGCCTACACTCCCATTGTCTCTGCTCCACAGACCCCCAATCAATACTTGTGCATTCAGCTTGGTTCCATGGTGACCTCCTGAAAAGCCATACTCTAATGTTTCCTCTCCTCAGCCCCACTGCCTCACACATTATATGGCATTCCTATAAATTTCCAGTAATTTTCAGAATGCATTTCCAGTACATCCTCACTGAAGACATTGAGCATTTCCCAAGGGTTGGGTGAGAGATGCAAGAACGGTGCTTTTTTTTATTTATTTACCAGTTGTAACCATGTCCACCTCATTTCATAAGAACGTATCTCTCCAACCCAAGATTGGTAAAGTCACAATGGATGGTCCTAGTCACATGTGCAAAGTTCTTCCTAACTGGCAAGAAATAAAAGGTATTTACAAAATAGATGGAAATAAAAGTTAGCTTCATGATATAACAGAACTTCTACTGTCTCAAAGAATTATACATATCAAATCCAGATTTTAAAAGATATCAAGAAGACCGTGTCTACCCAGGAAGCTCCTCTACCTCTACCCCATTCTGCACAACCCCTTTCTCCACTTCCTCTCCCCACTCTCAAATTTTAACATAGGAGTTTATTAAAGGTGGGCAAACTGGTGATGCATAACTGGGCTTCTGGGAATGTACAAATGCATGAGGCTGGTGTCATATATCTATGTGGTCTTCCAAATTGGTTTTATTTTCTAGCTGTCTTTGAAGAGATGCCCAAAGTTATGAACCTAATCAAGAAGCACTGCTCAAAAAGCTATTCTATAAGGTCATGTTATTAATAGAAAAAGCGGGAAACACATTAGCCAACAAAAGAATTGCATCCCCAAATGGACGAAAATGCACGTGCTGATGTATGTGGACTATATTCCTTCAGAGAGAGAGTGAGACTCAAAAACCAAACCAAACCAAAATAAAACCCCCAAACCAGTGCCCCTGGATGGTGGTGTGGACCTTCCAAAATGATGGGGAAAAAAATACAGCTATGTGAGGTGATTGATGTGTTAGCTAACCTATTTTTGGTAATCACTTTGCAGAACATACTGATAGCAAATCGCCACATTGTACATGTTAAACTTACATAGGGTTCTGTGTCAATTCCATCTCAATAAAGCTGGAAAAAAGTCTTTAAAATTCCAGATTTTCATGGTTTTGCCTTCAGAGGTTAACTCCTAATGACCCAGAAATAGCAAAATATATCAGTCATGGACACCTTAGTAAGAGAAAGGTTATCAGGTAGTTATATGGAAGAACCTGAGGATGGTGGCTTAGATGGAAATGGGGTCTTTCCAGATGTGATGAAGTGAAGATCTGGAGATGACACCTTTGTAGATGAGGGTGGCCCTAAATCCAAAGACAGTTGTCCTTATAAGGGACAGAAGAGGAGACACAGACACAGAGGAGAAGCCACTTGAGGACAAAGCCAGAGATGGGAGGTATGCGGCCAAAAACCCAGGGAGGCCTGGAGCCCCAGAAGCTGGAGGAGGCAGGAAGGACCCTCCCCTGGAGCCTCCAGAGGGAACACAGCCCTGCCCCGCCTGGATCTCAGCAGACCTGCCCCGCCTGGATCTCAGACTCAGTTCTCCAGAAATGGGGGAGGATACACCTCTGTTGCTGTAAGCTCTCAGTTTGTGGTCATTTGTTACAGCAGCCCCAGGAAACAAATATAAGCAATTGAGAGGGAAAAAAACAACTTCTCTACATCAGGAGACTCCATCAACCAAGCAAAAATGGCATGTTCAAAGAAGGAGAAAATATCTAGAATATTTTCTATAAATAGATTAGAAAAGGGATAAAGATATAATAGAAAGACTAGACATAAGGTGTCCACAGGCCATTCACAGAAGACACACAGGATCAACAAACTCATAACTATATGCTTAGTCTCA